CTGCTCTACCCATCACCCCTGGAGCTCCGGTCTGGTCGACGGTTGTGCCCTCAAGCAACAGCAATGGCAGAACCCAACCCGCCCACTGCTGCAACCGCTCCTTCCCAGCCTCTTAGGCTTCACTACACCGTGAGTACCTCTCATCGAGACCCTCCGGTATTTTCCGGCCTTCGCAACGAAGACGTCGAAGAATGGCTCGACAGTTATGATCGAACCAGCGTTTGTAATTATTAGGACAAGGCGCACAAACTGCGCTACGTTCCTTTTTACCTCGATGGCGTCGCTAAAACCTGGTATTACAACCACGAGAGCGACTTCTCCAATTGGTCGGCCTTCACGGGGCATCTCCGTCAGGTATTTGGCACGTCTGCAGGATGTTCAGTAGTAGCGAAACAGAAGCTCGCAACCCGCATTCAAGGGGACGACGAATCGTATACGTCCTACATTGAAGATATTCTGGCTCTCTGTCGCCGAGCACAAAATGACATGACGGAGGCCGATCGCGTCCGACATCTACTTAAAGGCATCAACTCTGTGGCCTTCAATGCTCTCGTGATTCAGAATCCGACTATCGTCCGGGACGTCATCACTACATGCCAACGCCTGGACGCGCTTCATTCCATGCGCCTTCCACACGCCTCCTGCGATGCTCGCTTTACCAAAGAGCAAGAATTGCGGGCCCTTATCCGCACAATTGTAAGAGAAGAACTTCACGGCCTTATTCCAGGCAACCCTACCGTTGCGTCTGTCCACACACCTCCTCCAAACCTGCGAGAGATAATCAAGGACGAACTGGCATCAATGACAAGCGCTGCACATGCCCCGTCTCCTGTGCGCTTCCCAGTGTCTTCGTACGCAGAAGTTGCATCGCGGGCCCCTGCACCAGTTCCAAACGTGCCTGCGGACGTCGGATGCGACCATGTGGCTGCGATGACAACGCAAGCGCCAAGGCCACGCCACTATTCTACATGGCGTCCTCCCCGCCCCATCTGCTTCTATTGTGGCATAAGGGGTCATATATCCCGTTTCTGCCGCCGCCGTCAGCAGGATGAACGACGTGGTTACTCAGCTTACGAGAGAGACTTTTCCCCGAGACTCGATGAATACGATCCCGCACCGTATCCATCCACATTCCGTCAGTCACCATCCCCTCCACGGTCTCATGCTGGGCCTCATCCTTCTCGTTCATCTCGCCGCCGTTCTCCGTCACCGTTTCGGCGTACGTCATCACCCTTGCGTCCCGCTCCGATCTCTCGAGACTCGGAAAACTAGAATATGCAGTTTTGGATGGGAAACTGCACCTTCCATATATATATATATATATATATATAATATATATATATATATAGATATATATATATATATATATATATATATATATATATATATGTGACGCTATGATGAATGAGTGACGTGGCCTGGCTCATACGCCATGTTTATTCTATTCTGCACTTCTTCTTCCTCTGCCTCTACAAACGATCACTTCATACGTCACATATATATATATATATATATAGGGGAAAGAAGTGTATACCTAAGGGCTCGTTTTTCCGTGTTTTTAACACAATAATAATGAGATATAACAGACAGTAATGCCAAGGAATGTACAGGGGAAGTTATTAACATTAATGGAATGTAAATAAGAAGAAAGAAAGTGGATGAAAAAATTACCAACTGTAAGCAGGAATCGAACCTACGACCTTTCATCCACTTTTCTTTCTTCTTATTTACATTCCATTAATGTTAATAACTTCCCCTGTACATTCCTTGGCATTACTGTCTGTTATATCTCATATATATATATATATATATATATATATATATATATATATATATATATATATATATATATATATATATATATATATATATATATGACGTATGAAGCGATGGTTGGTAGAGGCAGAGGAGGAAGAAGTGCAGAACGGAATAAACATGGAGTATGAGCCACGCCACGTCGCCCATTCATCATAGCGTCCCACAAGTCGGCAGGATGAAGACCTGGCGGCCACTTCATCAACCAGCCACCATCTCCGAACGTCTCAGCAAGACGCAGTGACCGAACGTGGACCACGAAAGTACATCCCAACACTACAACAAGACCACCATTATGATAGCACCATCAGACGACCACCTTCCCATCCCCAAGTACACTGGAGCAGTGGACGATGGACCTGTACAGGACTGGTTCGACCTGTTTGAGCACCACGCAACCGCTGCATCTTGGTCGAAACGGGAAATGATCACCAACTTCACTGACTACATCTCCGGTGAGGCATTCAAGTTTTACCTGACACACATATTCGAAAACGACAAATCATGGCAAAAGATCAGGGTAGAGATGATTACCCGTTTCAAAGAATACGATGAAGACCTGTTCATACCTCATCAGCGGAAGGCTTTTCAACTGACCCATCACAATTACGCTAAGTCTTCCCGCGGTAAGCCTATTTTCCAAACGAGATCTCAGAGAAAATATACCACCATTGTACCATCATATGACTCTTCCGAAAAAACGTCACGCATTCGAACACCTACTGGTAAATTGCACGTCGCAGCAGACAAGGTAAAGCCTCCGTATACCGAAAGGAATTTAGACCATTTCGGAAAAAGACTACACCTAAAGCCGGCTTTCCCAAGAACAATGAAATCGGCATTTTCAACGTGTTCACTGCACCACAACACTTCACATTATACTGAACCACCCGAATTCCTTGATGCTTCGTGTCACACACAAGACCCAGACGGTTTCGAGCGTGCGACGGAATTCACGCGTGACGAGCTAGTGAATCCTCACAATACCAGCCCCTACCCTGACGTTCCGGACCAGGGTCGTTCGACATACATTGTCAGCCTAACTACGCTGCAAAAAGAAAAACATGCGCCATTAGAACCACCTGAAGCCATGTCTGTTGTGCTCTCATCGTCAAGTGACAACACATATGTGAGTCAAAGCACTACAGGAATTTCGAATCCACCAACGCCGGCGCATTGTCAACTGACAGAAGCATTTACAATCAAGGATGACTCACAACCATCTTGGGAGCGTTCTCATCAGCCTGTCACGCTGCTTTCATCGCAGGACAAGCCTAGCAGTACAGTGTCGACTACCGACAATCTACTGATCACATCGCCATCTAAAGAAAAGCAGACTCATGTTCCTGAAAGAGGCCCATCTGACGAACTTTCACAAGAAGACGAGCAATTTCAACAAAGGCAACTCCACGAACTCCAAAAACTGCAACGGCTATTCGAACAAGAACAACGATCAAGTGAAACCTTCTCACGAGTACACTTGTGGCTGAAAGATCATCAGAGACAACATCAATTAAAGAAGCAAAGACGAAGTCGATGGCTAAGCCATCTTCGCAGAAAGCAACGTCGACAAAGTTTTCTGCACCGTTTCTCACGCCGTGTCTGCGATTCAACGAACTGAGAGAAGACCACAGAAAGCTACGAAAGAGACGTGCAGCTACCACGTGTACAATGAAAGAACAAAGGCATCATACCATCAGCTTCGGTTCTCGCACATGCAGGCTGCAAGCACTCGTTCTGTCTCAGCCACGACACAGAAAGCAGCGTCTACGACGGAGAACTTCGTGCCTACGACATCCGACTCTCAAATGCTACAAATACTTCGACCCTTGTTCATTCATGACGAGAATCGCTGTGTCATCAGTAATTTCTACGTTCAAGGCGTGCTTCAGTTGGCCAGAACGCAACAGTCAACCTCGCCCACCAGAGTTGTCATCAAATTCATCGGACTGCTCAATCGGCCTTAAAGATTTCGTGAGATTGTGGAACTCCGTCTGGACGTGAAACTGTGAATTCGGGCATTGTTTTGTTCATTCATTTCTTGAATTTGTTATAGTTTGTAACCAGTGCCATCTTTCGGGGGGAGGGGAATCGTGTGACGTATGAAGCGATGGTTGGTAGAGGCAGAGGAGGAAGAAGTGTGCAGAATGGAATAAACATGGAGTGTGAGCCACGCCACCTCGCCCAGTGATCATAGCGTCATATATATATATATATATATATATATATATATATATATATATATATATATTATTTACCCATGAATCTACTGAGAAAAAACGTGGCTGATCACCTTATATAGAAATCTGTATAACACGAAAGTGACACGTCTTTTTACAGAGAGAGTTGAGCGTTATTGTGCACTGTTTCAGCAACAGCAACAAATTGCAAAGTTACGGTAGGAATGACCAGCAGCTCGAAACTGGCTGCGCACACCTCAAGCCGAAAGCACGCACGAAATTAGAATACGCATAACGAGGAGGGGCTAACAACTGTCACAGTTCGATGCTTAAAGAGCGCTGTTCAAACAGAAAGGAAAGAGGCACAAGACAAGTGCACAAGTACACACAGGACAAGCACGAACGACTGTCACAATTCTTCTTGTGTCGTGTGTCAGCAGCGAGCTCCTTTTGGAAACGCGGCCGTGGCAGCGTGCGAAGCGACCTTCGTCCTCTCCCAAGACAAGTCTGATAAGCGAGCAGCACGCAGGAGAAACCCCGCTGCATGGAGAGTGGCACTTCGTGGAGGCGACGGCCATTAGAGCGCGCATAACGTGCGTCTGTCGCATCATCTCGGCAGTGATATAAAAAGAGCTAAATGTTTCGAAGCTTTGAGGACTGGAAAACGGCGTATGATGTACGAGTATATAACTAGCTTGCCGTTAGCATTCCAGGCAACGCACGCTCTATGGCGTAGTGCGTGCCAGCCCCAGCATTCTACCACTGAGCCACGCTGGTGCTTGTGTAGTTAGTGCAGCGCGCTGGGAGTCGAGAGGTCGCTGGTTCGATTCCGCGCAACAGATGCTTGCCTTCTCACTTTTTTCTTGGAATATTTTGTACACATTTCCAACATCACTTCAGTGACGCAAGTACGTCAGCGGAGTCGTGGTGGGCCCTGGCCTAAAACACTCTCTTGTTAAAATAAGCTAATGTACGATTTTCTAACCTAGCGCCAATGTACCGACTTCAATCTGTGTCCAATATAGGGCCCAGCCATTTCTGTACTTCCTCAAAAGTGGTGCCTTTCCTTCTGGAGTAGTCTTCTACCTGAAAAATAAACAAAAAGACTCCATGATCTCAAGCTTAACATATTTGACATAATTTTGGAATATGTAAATGAAAGAAGTGAACGCTTATCGCTGGCGAGAGGACAGGCCCTTTATACATTTAATCCTTTTCAATTATCTTGTAGGTGGGCAGCGTACCTCTATCGAATAAGTGCGCTTCTTTCAAGGCCATGTTTGTAAATTGTACACCTGCATTATTGCTACTGTTATAAATATCCATGGCATTTTGCATTCGCATCTCTGAATTTAGAAATCGGCACCGACTTAAAAGTTACGGGGCCGTGTGAAAGTGCTATTTAGGCCTCTCCACTTATATCCGCCTATTAAATCGATAAAGTAATCTGCTTTTTTTGTCTTTAGTGTGCACGATCGAACATATGTGGTAATCAAAAAGCCTGATTTGCCTCGTCTCCCCCAATGCCAGAGCACGCATGCTAACCTTGTATATTGATTATGCACGCGTAGCACGCCGAATAAGCTGCCAGACTAACGCATTTAAATGTAATTTCTTCCCAGGAAGATAAGCCAGTGTAAAAGGTTGTCTTCTGAAGTTGCAGAAAATACTTCACGTGAATTATTTTCAAGTTCACTGCTGGGTCTCCAGCAGTGCACTCGCACGGTTGTGTAAGACCAAATTGTACTATATAGCTGCTTTATATTGTGTATGTCTTAATGTGTTCCATCGAAAGATCAAAATGAATTACGTTTATTGTAATGTTGATGTGTTGTAAACTGTAATTGTCTAGTGTAATAATGCATTCTCCACCCTCCCACACTGTAACGCCATTAGGCGCTGTTCGTACTGTGATTAAAAAATAAAAAATCACGTGACTAGGAACCAATGTTAATTAACCTTACAGTAAGTTCACGACATAACCCAGAGTAAGGACACCGTTAAGAATAAGGCGCGAACACACACACACATCACAGGTGATGTGATGATTTCGTTCTGATATTACGGTGCATTGTCATTTCATAAGGGCCGCAATCACTGTGCTGTTTTGTTCCTGTTGATACTGTCGCTGCCATTCCCAAAAAAGTGGCATATTTAACGAAGAAAATCAGTACTGAGCATGGCAGCGTATACAAAAAAACAACAATGAACAAGAAATACACGCGTGATCATTTCAGTGTATTCAATCTCTCTTAATTAAGCGCCTGCGTATAGCTACAAACATGTAATGTGCCAAGCGTATAGATATGCGCATCTAATCTATCAAACACGTACCTGCACGCTTTACGCGACGTTTTGCAACGTTGGCTTCAAGCACGTTTCGCATCGATTTAGATTGTACGAGTACTGCAGATCAAGCGAGTAGGTGCATTTTTATATCATTGAGCTGCTGCGCAACTCAGTGGCAGCGTGCGAAGCGACCTTCGTCTTCTCCCGAGATGAGCCTGATAAGCCCAGAGAAAAGATGAAAAGAAAAGATGAAAGAATGAAGAAAGAAAAACAGAGAGCATGAGTGCTCTTGTTTGTTTGTTTCTTCTTCACCGTTCCATTTTTCTGTATGCTCCAACTGCGCTGCGATGTAGCTATACGATATTAGATTACGCAACACTTCGCTGCATCTCCAAAGTTTTGTTCGTGAACTTGCTCAAGGAAGGAGACGCTCAATCGGCGAATCCAGAGGATCCCTTGGTAACACTCGCGTTGCTCCAACGACAAGTGCATTCGGCCGCACACCAACCTGCTCGCGCGTGACGCGACCCACGGCAAAGTAGGCGGCCTGAGGATGCGCCAAGGTAGAGACCGCAGACGGACGCGGCCGGACGCATGGCCAGTGTGTCGGTCAGCTCGATGCCCACCTCCTCGCGGACGTTCATCAGTCGCCACAGCGTCAGCTTCTCCGAGTGGTCCGGTTGGCAGGGATACCCTGGCGCGGGTCGGATGCCCTGCGATTTGACCATTCTTGGGTGCCCGAAAAAGCGGCTCGTGGAGTACCGCGTCTCCATAGCAACAATTATTGAGACGGTTTTAAGGTGTATTGAAATCGTATTGTATTGGTGTATTGTATTGAAATTAAGACGGTTTTTAATGGTGCATTGAAAGGGTCATAAAAACTTCAGAAGAAAACGCATACATGAATCCAACGTTGCTTTCCTTTTTTTATACTTTCCTGGTTTTGAGCGTTTTTTTTAGTATGTCACTATGCACCTTAAATAACCCACCCTATTGCGGCAGTTCTCAGTTCTCAATGAATCGATTAGCAACAAATGTCAACCATGTGTATATTTGAACTTAAGAAAAAATATTTAGTGTTGTTGTTGTCGTCGTCGTTGTCATTGTTGTTGTTGTTGTCGTCGTTGTTGTCATCGTTGTCATCGTTGTCGTCGTCGTCGTAGTCGTTGTTGTTGTTGTTGTTGTTGTTGTTGTTGTTGTTGTTGTTGTTTTTGCACGAACGCACAATGCCGCATTAAAAAACAGCAATCAGTGCAAAGGAGTGGCCGAAGTTTATTTTACACCCGACACTGCACGATTAAAGATCGTGACAAAACCAGGGCATCAGTGTAAACTAACAAAGCACCCTTCACAAGTAAGAGAAAGGAGGTGCAAAAATAGAAATATGTGCCATGTCCGCATTACTGAAAAACTGAACATATCACTGCATGATCATTCATATCTCTTCCCTATTAGATAAACCTTAACGGCCCATGAAAACCAGTTGGCTCATGCGTTCTGCATTGGCGTTAGCCATTAAATACCCACACTTAGAATAAACCAAAATCTGGACATTCCCACCGCAACACGTTAACGTATGCAACCTTTGAGCTTGAGTTTGAATTTACTGTATCCCACACAGTTTCACAGTGAGTGGTTGGAACAAGGGTAAAAATCCAAATATTCCAGCCAGACATACACACGCCACACACACACAAAAATATTCACATCCAGAGCCCGAAACGCTAAACAGCCTGGTTGTGGCAACAAGACGGCACAAGCAAAACAAATTTCAAGGCAGCTTGAACAAGCAATATAGATGCTATCCGTTGGGGAAAAAATTGTACAAGTAGAGAACTATCACTACGAACATACGTCACGAAGCGTGTTCTGAATAGAACTATGTAGTCAGAATAAGTACAGTTTCACAAACAATTTTGAAACCACAATTTCCGAAACCTCTAAATGTACTGAACAGCCGCCACTACCAACCAGCCTTTGACGTCTTCTGCATGTGAACACGCCAAGCGGAAAGTATAGTCGCATCGGAGTAGCCGGGTGATGTGGGGCAACCTATAGACTATAGGCTCTGGACTTTAATAGTCGTGCTTCCTCTCACGCGACAATGACGTAATCAGCAACACTTGCCTTGTATTTGACGGAATGCAGTTCCGCTCCCTCCAGAGATTCGTGCTGGCGAGTAGCCCCAGTAGAGTTTCCTGACCATGACGTGAAGCATTTCGGCGAATGCCTGAAAAAAAAAAGAAAGTAAACGCAGACAGGATTGTCGTTCAGCGAAACCTTGGAGTGGGCTTGTCCAAACGTTGGCTCTGACGACATTCCTTGTTTGGCGATCTCTCATCACCAAAAGGGAACTGTCACATGCTGTGCCACACAGATTGACTCCGGATATAACTAACCCGGTCGAAGCGAACTGTTCTCAATATCGCATGCGCGAAACTCCTGTAAGAAAGTTCAAACTGGACGCTACATAAAACGTACTCGCTCTTTCCATGACAGCGCCATCCTGCTCTTGGAGGTGGGGAGCTCTCTGTCGCTAGGCAACATGACGAACTTCGTTATAGACAGTTCAGTTACAAGAGCGTTTCGGTATATCATCATGAAAAGTTCAGTGATTTATATATGTTGACCTCTGGACAAGGCATATACCGGAAGGCCTAATCGCATCGAAACATGTTTATACAGCGCTCTGTGCAGTGATATTTCATTATACCTAGCGTTCGCCAGTAAATATTCATAAACGACTACACAGTAACAAGTAAAAAGTCACGGTTTTCCACTAGGCCGAACCAATGAATGCGATAGCAACGAATTACAATATCACACGCAGAACTACAGGCAGCTCAATACTTTCAGCACGCCGCTACAGCACAAAAAACGATGCTCAAAAAAAAACAACACTAGGTATAAACTTGTGTATTTGAGCAACGTGCTGAAAATGTTGACAATGCAGAAACCGACGCTGTTCGGTTTTTCTGTTTCTTTTAAACTGTGGCACGTAGAATGAGCCCTCAGCTGCTCCTGCCATGTGGTGGCGTCTGACGTCTAATGTACCCCATGTTGTTCTTTTCTCTCTCTCTCTCTCTTCCACATTATGAGTAGTACAGAATGGTGCCACTTTTTTTGCACGTCTCAAGGGCAGGTTTTAGTTTGAAAGAAAATTTAAAAACGTTGGCCATAGAAAATATGCTCAAGTTGCTCTGAGATCTCTGTACCGCGAACGGTAAAGGTGCGTATGAACAGCTCGCCGCGACATTACCCACCCGCCCAAGTATGGCGAGAGACTGTGTTGACTGGCGCAGTGAAATGTGGAGCATGTGGTCGCTGGTTCGAATGCCCGCAATCTTGATTTCGATTTTTTTCTCTACTGGTTCGTTTTTATTCATGCCTCGTATATAAGTTACATATATATCCGGGACATGACGGCGACGGCAAAATCAGCTGAGAGTGTTTGTATAATTGCTATCGCAATAAAAGATTACCTCTGCCAGTCGGTCAGCGAGGGCTTCTACCATGATCACTCTGAAGTCGTCATTTTTCACTCGATAACTGGAACGGAGAAGAGATAGGAACAATCCACTGGTCAATTATTTTCAAACTTTATATTCATTTTTTGTGTGTTCATGAATTTGCAACCTCAAAAGCAACAGCAAAAGAACCAGAATAACGTACTTAGAAGAGCGCTTAAAAGGGCCTCACATCTTTACTCGAGAAGAGGATCTAGCTCATCGTGTAATTTACTTGCACGATTTGTTTGTTGCTGACTCTCCAAAACGTTGTTGGTATCCACCAAAAATTGGGTTAACGCTTGTTGCTCATAAAAAAAGAAAATTCTGAATTTAAAGCTCTCCCTCGTGAGCGACGAAAACCGATATCAATTACATCTCAGTGAGCGCGCGGCCAGCCGGTGGCAAACACTTGCGAAAAGCGGGAAAAAATTTTAACAGCTTACAAGTACTATATTTATATTTTCCTTGAGCCATAACTAGTGTATATAATAGGGTACGAATGGTTTATCACCAAGGACCACAATCTATAACTTTGGGTTGAATACCTAGATGTCTCATCTCATTGTCGCAATCACGCCCGGCTAATGTTGTTTGAATGCCCGTCCGACCGTAGGGTTTCCTAAATATACACTATAGTAAACTCGGATGCTAGTGCCTATAGGAGCTGCAACGCACGGAGCTTCAGCGAGCATGGGAATTATGAGTATACTACATGGATTTGCCTAGTCTTCGTACTTTACGTTCCTTCTAGTTTCACGTGGCTTAAAGGTGCTTTGTCACGAAACAACAATCGGGAAATGTATGGCAGTTACGTTTTACAAATATTTTAGGCTTACCACTTCAAATCGGGTTGCGAAGTTGAAGAGCCGGGTTCGTTTTTTTTTTCCTCGAAACCAAAAGCCAAAAACAGCAATAGACGAAGCCACAAGTGTGATTCACCGCCTGCACTGAGTACAATGACTAGGCAAATTCATGTCATACCCATAATTCCCATGGTCTTTGAACTATCGCAGCGCCACAGTCCCCTCTAGTTAATTTTTTGGAAACTCTATTCGTCCGACCTTGTTTGAAGAACCCGGATGTTTCATTTCAGTGCCAGAATAACGATGCTTACTTTAGACAGAAGGTCACTCGAATGTCGCTCACAACAGGAAGAAGCTTTCCATGTTTAGAAACGATCAGAGTGCTAGCTCAGATTCGCTGCTTGACCCGTACCGAGCGCAGGCTTTCTCGCATCCGAATCCGGCGGAAACCGCGAAGAGGCCCACGAAGTCTTGGATGCCGCTCTCCAAGGGTGCCACAAAGTCTGACAGGCAGTAGAAGGGCGAAGGCTTGCTCTTCGCGGCCAGGTGTAACGAAAAGCCACACGGGCATGTTAACAAGGGCAACAACAAAAGTATAAGAAATGCTGGGCCTTACCCCCCCCTCTCCCCAAAAATATTATCTCAAGTTTACATTTCGTAAAACTGCGACAGCACATTGGACTCGGTAGACATACAAAGAGTCTTGGATTCATTGCGCGTTTAGGACTACTGGAAAATAATAATAATAATAATAATAATAATAATAATAATAATAATAATAAATAATAATAATAATAATAATAATAATAATAATAATAATAATATTATTATTATTATTATTATTATTATTATTATTATTATTATTATTATTAGTTCTTACGCCACGTAACCACGACATGATTAAGGTACGCCGTATATAGCGGAGGGCACCGAAAATTTCGACCATACGGTGTTCTTTAACGGGCACTTACATCGCTCAGTACACGGATTTCGGGAATACTTAAACATAAACGATTACCCTAGCCGAGAGAGAGAGGAATATTTAATATTTAACGAAACCTGAGGTTGGATGAATGCTTTTACCTGCTACTCAAGGTCGGGGAAGGGCAGGGGTGCAAAAGAGAGGAGACAGAGGGAAGGCGCCGAGGGTGAGGAATGAAACAAAACTTTACAAAACCTTTGTTTTCAACAAGAAAAAAAAATGGCAATCGAAAAAGACTCGCACAAGAATACACGGTTTATCTAGTGTTTACATATCACACTTTAAAGTGTTTAAATTTTCAGCTTTAACACTTGATACGCGAAGAGAAACACGTTACGGAAAGGGAAAAGAGAGTACCTGCTGCCGAAGCCCATACAATGTGCCAACTACATGTCTCCTGGGAAAACCGTCGTCAGCGTAGAGATGGATATCATCGCCAACACTGTTGGCCGAGTAAAATCCGACTACACCACGCGCTTGAAGCAATCGGCTATCGATGATCTCCGCAAGCATCTGATTGGCTTCGTCAAACAACCTTTTCGCTTCTTGGCCTGAAAAAAAAAGGGGGGGGGGGGGAATCCACGCATATCCACAGAATTTGTTTTTCTCTTAAGTGGAGCACTTTTCTATAGACGAAATATGTTCTCGTCGAGAAAACTTCATACCTTCAAACATTCTGTTTTTTTTTTCTGAAGTCTTAACATTTTAGGCGAGCTAAGTTATTGCTTGTGCTTTTATTGTGGAGCTGCTTTTCTTTATTAGAAGTACTTACCAACATGATCATCTTCAAATATTTTCGGGTACCGCTGGTTCGGGTATTTCCCTTTCAGCTGCCACACGTCGAAAAACGGTTTCCAATCGATGTAAGGCACCAGCTCCTCAATGTTGACGTCGTGAAAAATCTTGTTACCCAAGAACTGTGGCTTTGCTGTTCACACAAGCACAGGGACATTTTCACACATTTCACACATTTTAGAAAGATGTCACATTTTAGAAAAAAAGTCACATGAAAAAATCTGCCAGCTTGAGTATTGGTAGTATATGAGGAGTACAATGAGGTATTTTATTGAGAAAACGATAATACACTTGTGTTATCGACTGGAAAGACTGGAATGACCTCCCCCACCATATTGCAGCAATCACCTGTCCATCAACATTTACGCATAGCGTCACAAGCCATTTTTCAAGCTAATTCATGGCTTTTTTGTACGTTTTTTGTAACCCCACCCCTTATGTAATGTCCCCCTGGGGACCTTTAAGGTAATAAAATGAAATTAAATAAAATGAAATGTTGATGGTGTTTGCATACTTTAAGGTCAGTAGTTGAATAACCTAAACAACTCAAGAGATCAGAATAACAGGCGAATTTTCATGGTTAATGTGGCAGGAATGTATTAAGTTACAACCTCGAGAGCGCCGTCGCAGGCACTTGAAAATGGTGCGATCAGGTTCATACTTGGGCTAAAATCAGCGTTCCAGTTGAGCCGAAGTTTGTTCTGCCTGGCATATTCCAGAGAGACGTATTTCCTTTCCTGAGATAAAAGGAGGAAAAGCGAACAGATACATTCTAGAAATGAAAATATCATAACTCGGCAAGGTAGCACGGAGTAAAATGCGTACTGCGCACCTTGATCCTCGTTCATTTCAAAGTACTTGAATGTGCACAATGCAGGTGCCAGAAAAGTCTCTATAGTTACGGATTGCGACAACAAAGACGTGGGCTGGCTTGTGCCAATTATGTGTAAGTTACCGTCTGCGGGTTCGCGAGGGTAAGTCGCATTTGCGAGTTCGCAAGTGCAAGTCACACTTTGCAAATTCCCAAACGTAAGTCACTCTCAGCAACTCCACAAGTGTAAGCTATTTCCTGCGAGAACGCAGTGGCGAGTTACTCTTCGTGAGTTTAGGGTGTAAGCTGGGGATCGCGAATTCCAAAATGTAAGCTACGGTTTGTGGGAGTTCACAGTGTATTTTATCGCTTTGCGTGTTCAAAAGTGGAAGTTCTCTTTTACGAGCTTGCAGGTGCAGGTTGCCCTTTTCAACTACTCAAGTTGCGGTTTGCGAGTTTCCCAGTGTTGTGCAGTACGCCAGTTCGCAAAAGTGAGGCATTGAAAGCCCACAAGTTACATTTCACGATTTTCAAGTGTTTCCCTTTGCAAGTTGAGAGAGTTAGTGCACAAGCCCACAAGCGCAAGTACCGTATGCGTTTTAGCCCGTGTTACGTTTCGCCAGTTCGCAGCGGTTACGAATCACGAGTTCACAAGATGCGTTACCCTTTGCGAGTCCATGTAGTCCTCTCTGAGTTCCTCGTACTCCTCGTCAATGTCTTCGACAAGCACACTTTTTTTTCTTGGCGTCCAGCAGAGCAGTGCACTGGATAGCAAACCATTGCGATACGTCAAAATATAAACTGATTACAGACATCAGTGGAATGAAAATCAGTCTTTACTTCACGGCGCTTTTAGAAACGTATTAAACTGCGGCAGCTCGACAAATTACACCTCTAAACGAATTGAGGAGTTAGGTATAACAACGCGACCATTTGCTATCCTAATTCTGTGATGAAGCCATGACGTTAACAACATAATATAACCAGGAACACAAGAACATGTGTTAATATGCATCTCTATTTTAAATGTCTTTGACGAGTGGCGCCACGGTGGCAGCCGCACGAACTAGTCATATCCCGTTGCTTCCGGCACACATAACAGGCCACCCATTTTCGTACAACGTCTGTGCAGTGCCTGAAGTAGGTCATCAACATTGTAGAAACCGATATCTTACCACAACGACACTCTTCGAAGCGTCGGGAACGTAGATCACCGGCTGGCGGTAACGTGGCGCTATCTTCACAGCGGTGTGGCGCCTGCAGTAGTGGCATAAGAGAGTCACCTCAAGCAAGTCTCTTCACTGTTAAATTACCTCACTGCCAAATCAACTCCAACACTTACTTCGATGTCGTGGCGCCTCCTATGAGCAGCGGCACGGAGAACTTCTGTCGTTCCATCTCCGTTGCGACGTGAATCATTTCGTTCAAGGATGGGGTGATGAGACCTGATAGGCCTAGGATGTCTTTGCGGAGAGCAATTTTACCAATTCAAAGAAAAGAGAGAAATAAATCAGTCTGCAATGATATGCAAAGTCAGTTCCTGCTGTGGTAGCTGGCGTTTTGCAAGTTTTGATGATGAAGACGTGCAGATTACGACATGTTTAGCCACGAAATAGCACATACACAGAGCAAAGGAACCCACAACAGTACGGAAGGGCTGTGTATGTGCGATTTCGCGGCTAAAATATGTCATTAAGCAAGTACCAACCAAGCCAACAGTCTTATTAAAACATGCAGATTATGCAGACATGCGAACTACGGAACTGTTCGCAAAAAGCGGGAGAAGTGAATGAGAGACATTCAGGACGATAGACTAGGTAAATAAAAAAACAGTGTTTAGATATCTAATAAACATTCATAAATAACTATACATTACTAAGAACTTGTGCTACTGTGTGCAGTACGGATAAATTGAACTTTAACTGCGAACGATTCGCTGTCTCGTTAGGACAAGGTGTTTGAGGAAAACAAAAGCTACTCCAAGAGCAGATGAAAACACCACAGTAACGTTTCGGCACTATAGCACTCTATGACGTTATGAATTCTGGCTGGCACTATACGAAATGAGATGCATGGTTATCAAAAAGGAGCCTTGCGCTGCGTTGAAGCGAGCTAAACTCTCGAAGTGATAAGCTCACATCAGTATTTCTGCAAAACAGAAAAGAAAACTTGGGAAGGTCGTTTGAAACCACCTCACTACGTTACGCCCCCTGGCGCAGTGTTCTCGACAAAGACACACACGGCCTTCCGCACCGCGGTCCGTGTTCGACAGTATGATCAAAATTACCGGCATTTTCCTCTCGAACGACGTCCAGTATCTTATCGCACGGGACCATGACGCCGAGGTCAATAACCCTGCGAAGGAAAATGCACGCCAAGTTACTGCCCATATTAAATATCCCTAAGAGCAGCGATGAGTCGCTAGCTTACTTGAAGTTATTGCAGCCCAAGACGACTGCCACGATGTTCTTTCCGATGTCGTGCACGTCACCGCGGACGGTAGCCAGAACAACGACACCGGAGTGGCTAACCTGTACGAGTCACGCATATTAAAGTTTACGTGCAGCACAGCTGCTATGCTCGACGTTTGCAGCGTGTCATAGAGGAAAAGCAATAACATCATGAACGAGCAGGCGCTCCATTTTTACTCTTCCACACTTCGCGCCCAGAACACGTGCGCTGACTTATCAGACGTGGGATGCAACAACTCGAACTAATGAGAGAACGTGGACAGAGAGGGAAAAAGAAAGAGCGAAGCAGAGTGGGACAGGTTACACCACACACACACATTATATATATATATATATATATATATATATATATATATATATATATATATATATATATATATATATATATATATATATATATATATATATATATATATATATTGTTACGGAGCTCGCAAACACACGGAAGAGAGGAATGAGCGTATTTCCTATATTTACATGCCAAAGTGACGCTTCAGAGCTGCCAGTCTCTCGCGCGGCGAGTCCACTTCTTTTTCATCGAACTGTTGTCCACGACGGTAGAGCCATGCCCACTGCCTCGTAATATCACCCCCGGCGAACAAAGCGCCGTCACGGCGCCCCTAAGTCAATCAGGACTGGCAGTATAGTAGGGCTTTAGGCGCGACACATGAACAACATCAGTAGATGGTGTAGCAGAGGATGAGTGCGGTTGAACGGGAGTGATGAGGTAGTCGACGTCGGTGACCTTGCGGAGAACTTTGTAGGGTCCTGTGTATCGTGGGAGGAGCTTCTCGCACAAACCTTCACGTCGATACGGCGTCCAGAGTAGGACAAGAGAGTCATCAGGGTAGTCAACGTCGCGGTGCGAGTCATCGTAGCGGACTTTTTGTGCGGCCTGAGAAGCACTGAGCCGAGTGTGCGCGATTTGGCGAGCGACGCGGGCTCGAGAAGCAGCGTCCTGCGCATACACCGTTGGTTGGATAGTAGCAGAAGGAAGGAGTGTGTCGAATGGCAACGCAGGGTTGCAGCCGTACAAAAGAAAGAATGGAGAGTAGCCGGCGGTGTCATGTCTTGACGAATTATATGCAAATGTAACGTAGGGGAGCATTGCGTCCCAGTCACGGTGGTCAGCAGAGACGTACATAGACAACATGTCTGTAAGAGTTCGGTTGAGACGCTCCGTGAGACCGTTAGTCTGGGGATGGTAGGCAGTAGTAAGGTGATGTTCGGTAGAGCAGCTCCGGAGGATTTCGTCGATAACTTTTGCGAGGAAGCAGCGGCCCCGATCCGTCAAAAGCTGGCGCGGAGCTCCATGCCGCAGAATGACGTCATTTAGGAGAAAGTCTGCGACGTCTGTAGCGCAGCTAGTTGGCAATGCACGAGTTATCGCGTATCTGGTCGCATAGTCGGTTGCGACAGCGATCCACTTGTTGCCTGACACGGACGTCGGGAAAGGTCCGAGCAAGTCGAGGCCGATGCGGAAGAATGGTTCCGGGGGAATGTCGATAGGTTGGAGCAGGCCAGCCGGACGGAGAGCAGGACGTTTCCGACGCTGGCAGCGCTCGCAAGCAGCGACATAACGGCGCACAAATTTATACATGCCAGGCCAAAAGAACCGTTGCCGCACGCGGTGATAGGTGCGTGAAAAACCCAGGTGTCCCGCCGTCGGTGCGTCATGCAGATGTTGAAGAATAGTGGCACGCATGTGTTGGGGAATAACTAACAAATATTCCGGGCCATCAGACTTCATGTTGCGACGATACAGAATGTCGTTGCGAAGGACATATTGACGGAGAGAAGGGTCGGAATGTCCTGAAGATACTCGCTGAATGACCTTCTTGAGGGTTGCGTCCCGGCGCTGCTCTGTGCCGATGTCGTGCAAATCAGATATGGCGAGCACACAAGAATCGCCTTCATGGACAGCGAGGCTAGCAGGGTCCACCGGATAACGCGAGAGACAATCAGCATCTTGGTGCAACCTGCCCGACTTATAAATTACGTCGAAGTTATACTCCTGGAGACGTAGAGCCCAGCGACCTAGGCGACCAGTTGGGTCCTTGAGCGACGACAGCCAACACAGAGCGTGGTGGTCCGTAATAACTGAAAACTCGCGGCCATACAAGTAGGGGCGAAATTTCGCTACAGCCCAGACCAACGCAAGACACTCGCGCTCTGTTATCGAATAGTTTCGCTCAGATGTGGAGAGAAGGCGGCTGGCATACGCAATAACACGCGTTTGGCCTCCCTGGTGTTGAGCGAGGACGGCGCCGATTCCGTGAGCACTGGCGTCTGTGCGTACTTCAGTCGTCGCAGACGGGTCAAAGTGAGCCAGTATTGGTGGTGAAATGAGCAGGTCGATCAGCGTGGAAAACGCAGCTGCTTGGTCTTGGCCCCACGAGAAGGGCACGTTCTTTTTGAGAAGATCAGTTAGTGGTCGTGCAATTGTAGCGAAATCGCGTATAAAGCGGCGGAAGTACGAGCATAAGCCCACAAAACTCCGAACATCTTTGGTTGAAGAAGGCAGAGGGAAATTCTTGACAGCGCTAATCTTGTCAGGGTCAGGTCGGACGCCAGCAGCACTTACAAGATGACCAAGGATCGTGATTTGTTGTCGGCCGAAATTGCACTTTTTCGAGTTCAGCTGGAGTCCTGCTCGACGAAAAACGGCTAAAATGGTCGACAAACGAGTTAAGTGAGTTTCAAATGTTGGGGAAAAAACAATCACATCGTCGAGGTAGCAAAGACAGATGGACCATTTATAACCACGAAGAAGAGAGTCCATCATGCGTTCGAACGTTGCCGGGGCGTTGCACAGCCCAAAAGGCATAACCTTGAACTGATAAAGGCCGTCCGGTGTGATGAAGGCAGTCTTTTCTCGGTCTAAGTCGTCGACAGAAATTTGCCAGTAGCCCGAACGCAGATCAATAGATGAGAAGTATCGCGCGCCATGAAGGCAATCAAGGGCGTCGTCGATTCGTGGCAGCGGATATACGTCTTTGCGGGTTATCTTGTTCAAGGCACGGTAGTCAACGCAAAATCTCCAGCTGCCATCCTTCTTTTTCACTAAAACAACAGGTGACGCCCATGGACTTGAAGAGGCCTCTATGACTCCTTTGGAGAGCATTTTCTCGACTTCTCGTTGTATGACCTGGCGTTCGGACTGGGAAACACGATACGGTCGCCGTCTAACAGGATTAGCATCGCCGGTATGTATTTGATGACGCACGAAGGACGTTTGCCCTAAAGGGCGGTCATCGAAGTCGAAAATATCTCGGTAGGTAGTCAGAACGTGGTGAAGTTGCGCCAACTGACAGGGCAGAAGATCAGGGGCGATCATCATCGTGATTTCGTCGCTAGGTGCGTTTGCTCGGCTGGCTGCAGTAGGGGACGAACAGTCTTCAGGGTCCAATGCCACGATGCTACATGCATCAAGTGGGGAAACGTGGGCTAACGAAATGCCTTGCGGGAGAACTTGGGTCGAACTACTGAAGTTAAGGAGCGGAAGCTGAACGTAGTTGTCCACAATAGTCACGATTGTATGCGGCACAGCAACACTTCGAGCCAAGAGCACATCCACCAATGGAGACACTATGTAGTCACCGTCAGGAAGAGCTGGTGATATCGTTAAGGCAACACACGTGGTGGCTTGCGGTGACAGCCGAACATAATCAACAGCGCACAAGCGGTGTGACGGTGAGGACGGCACAGGTCCAAGTCGAGGCAGTTCAAGTTGAAGAACGCCGGTTGCACAGTCGATGAGAGCAGCATGGGTGGACAAGAAATCTAAACCAAGAATTAGGTCATTTGGGCACTGCTCAATAACTGCAAAGAGAACAGATGTGGGGTGATCGGCGATAGTGATGCGTGCTGTGCACATTCCTGTGATGGCAAGACTTCTTCCGTCGGCGACACGAATAACGCCAGGGGCAGCCGGTGTGAGCACTTTCTTCAGGCGGCGACGAAGTCGGGCACTCATCACAGAAATATGCGCCCCAGTGTCAACAAGTGCAGAAACAGTCAGGCCGTCAACGTCGACGTCGATCAAATTTTGTCGTGTCGGCAGTACAAGGAGAGGATTTGAGGTCGGTACCGAGGATGCAGCTTCACCTCCAAGAGCTGCACCGCTTAGTTTCCCTGGTGAGAATTGAGCGGGGAGGTCGGGCGTCGTCGTAGAGGAGAAGGGGACGACGGGCGACGTCCTGGCGGCGAACGAGACTGGTGACGTCGAGGCGACGGTGAGCGGCTGTGCTGCGTATCAGGGGCATCGCAGGCGTAGGAATCGACGGGCAGAGGCCGGCGGTAGTTGTCGGCGATCGGCTCAGGAGGTTGGAAACGACGGTAGCTATCGGTGCGGCGAGCAGTGTTATACTGGTTTCGGGACGAAGACCAATGGTTGTGGCAATACCGTGCGACGTGACCTATGCGGCGGCAGTTAAAGCAGATCGGCCGATCATCCGCAGTTCTCCATTCGGCCGGATTGCGAGAGCGTGGATAAGACCTTTCTTGGGGTGGTGACCTGGGGCGAGGCGGCGACCTTGAACGGAAGCCAATTGGTCGAGACTGAGCAACGGCGCAGACATCGAAGCCCAAATTGCTCAGTTCTTCCCGCACAATCGACTGTACCAAGCAAACCTGAGGTACTTGCAAATCGACGTGGCCGTTGGCGGGAAGAGTAGGTGTAATTGCTTCGATTTCCCGCCGGACAATTCGCGTAATTTCAGACGCTGGTGAAGACTGCCGATGGGAGGACAGTCCATCTTCGCAGGAGGACGTCGCTGCGGTGTTCGGCAGTCGAGTAAATGATCTTGAAATCCGCCTGCTTTTGGCCAGTTCAAAACGCCGGCATTCCTCAATAATTTCGTCGACGGTCGCACAGTTCCGGCACATTAGCAGGTTGAACGCGTCGTCCGCTATGCCCTTGAGGACGTGGCCAACCTTGTCAGACTCCGACATGTCGTTGTCAACTTTACGACATAGAGCCAGCACGTCCTGTATATATGAGATATACGGCTCTGTGGACGTCTGAGCACGTATAGACAACTCCTTCTTTGCAGCCGCCTTTCGACCGATGGGCTTCCCAAATAAGTCGCGAAGCTTTTCCTTGAAGGTGTCCCAACTGCCGATCTCCTCCTCATGGTTCTCGTACCAGACTTTGGCCGTGCCTTTCAGGTAAAACAGCACATTGGCCAGCATAAGAGTCGGATCATACCGGTTGAGAGCACTGGTGCGTTCGTAGTCGGCTATCCAGTCGTCGACATCAACTTGGTCCGTACCGCAGAACGTTCCAGGATGCTTCGGATGCGTCAGCACGTACGTGGGTGGGGGTGGGGCCAGTGGAGGCGTTGCCGTGGATGGTGCGGGCGTCGCCGAAGCCGATGGAGAGGTGGCCGTGGGATCAGTCCCGTGTTCCATCACGGAAACTCCGATTTGACGACCACTGCGGAGCTCCGTTGTATGGCGCTTCGTTACCCAGCACTCCCACCAATTTGTTACGGAGCTCGCAAACACACGGAAGAGAGGAATGAGCGTATTTCCTATATTTACATGCCAAAGTGACGCTTCAGAGCTGCCAGTCTCTCGCGCGGCGAGTCCACTTCTTTTTCATCGAACTGTTGTCCACGACGGTAGAGCCATGCCCACTGCCTCGTAATAATATATATATATATATATATATATATAAAGAGCGAGAGAGAGAGGTCACATTAGAACCAGCTGCACAAAACACGAAGGCGAGCATCGAAACCACTCGCCGAAGGCATAGCATAGCCTTGTATAGTACAGCAAAGAGGTTGTGAAAGTGAGGTTTATAAGAAGAGATATGGAATGAAGAGGAGGGAAAGGATGCGGGGAGAACGAGTGAGGTGTGAAAGAGAGGAACGCCAAAAAAATTAGAAAAAGAAGAAAAGAAAGCAAGCATAATCATATTAGGTATACTATAGTACTATATAGTACAGTACAGTATAATAGGGGACGGAAAATTGCGTTCAATGGCCAAAGAAAGCCGCAATAACGTTCTCTCTCTCTCTCTCTCTCTCTCTTTAGTCTTGAGCGCCTCTCGTGAACAACCTCTGCTCGACACAACTTACAGTTAGAGACCTGACTTCTGAAGGTTTTTCAGTCGAAAAAAAGTTCGATTTGGTCCGAAATGGTCATCGTCGCCACGTAATCATCACAAAATATGAGGTTGTCAGAGGCATGGAATGCATGTAGTCCTCAAAAGCGATTACGCAGGGCGAAACGCAGACAGATTAGATTGTACTAGCGATCTGTCATAAGTTGGTGTGTGAATATTCGAAAACATTGAATAACGAAACGAGCAGCACTCTTCGATGACGACGCTTCTATGGAATAGTGCACATTCGACCTACCTAATAATTTTCGAATACTTTTCAAATAATCAGAAGCGACACAAAAACCTCTGAGGAACAAAAAGTTGGAAGAATGAAGAATACTTTTTCTTGATTCAATTAACAAATTACGGAGATTAGGCAGTTCAAGGTTCTACTGGACGGTCTAAGCTTTACTCAGCACCAGAGTAACAAATCCACCTTTAAACTTCGGGGTCGCCAAAGTGAATGTGTTTCTAATCGAATATAATTACCATGGGACTGATCAGAAACATGAAATACTGCTTGACTTTCGGGTCTGAGGGTCACTTATAAACTGGTTACAAAGTGACATTTAAAAATCAAGTATACCTGCTGTGTTCATCCTACAATTAAAAACACGTCGAAGTCTGTAGTTGTTGTATGTGAGCTTACATCAGTTTATATGATTGTAGTATATTTTGTCGGTCAAGTGTAACGGTAATTTTAATTTTTCAAAGTTGGTCAATGCTTGTTTCAAATAAAGTGTTTCGGCATTCATGGCCTGTCTTGAAAAGGTTGCCTTAGTATTCGAAAAGTATTCGAATAGTATTCTCTACACATATTCGATTGGGTATGATCACTCTTCGATACATATCCGATTCGCTTCTAAATTTCGCTATTCGCGCACCCCTAGTCATAAGCCAGCACTCTATCCCTGCCTATTTTCATTGTGGTCTCGAAACTCTTATGCAAACTAGTTCTACGGAAACCCGCAAGGTGACGCAAGGCTTAAGCAGGCGAAATAGATGACCTCCCGTTTGTGGCTTTCTCAGAAAGAAAAGTTTTTTTCAGTTGCCGAAAAATTCGTCCTGGCCCGAGAATCGAACCCGAGACCAACGCCTTTTCAGGCGGTGGCTCTACCAACTGAGCTAACCAGGAAGCTATAGCAACTGACAGTGCGAGGGCGAATTCGTCGACAGGACGAAGCACATGTACACAAGTAATGCAAATGAGTTTTGCGGAGATTCGCGAGGTGGCGGTATACGGTTAAGACGGGGAAGTCAACGAACACCCGGGTGGTTGTCTAATTTCCCCTTCTCGGAAACTCTGGTGCGGCAAAATCAGTAACGGCAACTTTCGTCCCGCATTTCTTCCCTCTACAATTTATAACAGTTAGGCCTCGTCGCCATTTTTCACCTGGTTTGTCGCCGTGCTCCCTAAGGACTTCCTTGCTTCCTCCTTCTCGCGCTCCATAAAAGGTATTAGGTAGGCGACGGCCTTCTTCATCACCCGCGCTGACTTGATCACTTGGGGCAGGAACATCTTTCCTTCGCCGAATAGGTCACCAACGATGCTCATGCCCTGAGCATGTAAATGTTCACTGAAGCGTAGCGGTTCGAATAAACATTAACGGGTGTTTGCAAGTGTAAAGCGCTATAGTCTCACTTTAAAGCGTCTTCTCTTTAGATAGTGTGGCCATAATAACTGCAATTACTAACTACCATAAATAAACCGACAACCAGTTATTATTTTTTTTTTTGGCTCGCAAGCTGGCTTGTAAGGTGTAGATACACAAAGATCTTCTGCTATTTATTGTCACACCTTGCATTACAACGAATGGGTCGTAGAGTACAGTGTAGGGAGACGAGGGTCAACTGTTATCGAACAATTGATACACCTGTATTTGAACGGTTTCGCTCGTTAAAGCTGCATTCACTCGACGGACCAAGTCATGATTCGACCCAGGAGATCGCGTACTACGTCACCATACGTCACCCATTTCCGCGTCTACACGTCGGTCCGCGCGAAGCTATTTTGGGATCCTCGCGGAGCAACACCGAAATCTTCGCTTGTAGCGTGAATTCTTCCCTGATGGAGGCCCAAATTCTGTCGGCCCGCGTGCTCAGCTTTGGGTGCACGTTAAAGAAGCCCAGGCGGTCGAAATTCCCGGAGCCCCCCACTACGGCGTCTCTCACATTCATATGGTGGTTTGGGACGTTAAACCCCACATATCTATGAATCGATTCTCCCCTGTCGTGTGAATGGTGGTTGCAGAGAGATGGGAATGGCGTCACATGTCACGTGACTGATCCGTCGGCAATCACGTCCGTCGTGTGAATACAGCTTTGAATGCATGTATGGGTTACGCCATCTTTCGTTTTTAGTACGAAGGCGCTTATATCTTGTTTCGTGATCTGTACAAAACGTGCTGTCCGTTAACAGAAAGAGGGTTCTTATGTTGGGAAAAAGTGCTCGGCCACAATATAGCATTCACTTGTCATAAAGTAGGGCCATATTTTTATGCAGTGTGCTTTCTAGCGCAACGTGAAAGCTTACCGGTCGGATTGTCTAACCACAGAATGGCAAGACCATGACGCATTTATAAAATCTTTTTTTTTTTGATCGGAGAAAGGTGAAGCCACATACGGGCAACACATGCAGCAAACAATGCGAGGGAGGTGAGAGCGTGAGCGGTTCGTATTTGTGCGCGGCGGTCTGCTGCGCATGCACCATTGTCCACTCGACATGGACCACTTGTTTCCACGAAGGTTTCACCGCTTTCCAGCGCACAACCTTTTGTTGTTTTTTTTCTTTTATGTATTTCTCTCGCTCTTTTCACCTCATAGGCAGCGCAGAAAAGTGCGGGCATAGATAATTATATGCATTTTCTAACTTTCAGCACTAATTATGGTGCGCACGAATGCACCTGCCTATACGTACAGCAAAGTGAACGACTCCATAATCCATTATTCAAGGCTCTTCCTCTAAGATGCGCGATACGCTGGTTACTTATGTCTTTTAAACGCCATATAAACATATGAGTCCTAGGCACATCGCAAAAGGGATGATTGAATCTGTCGCTATTACGTGGTCACCTCATTTACGCCCGGACTTTAGCATATGTACGATGTTTTGGCCAGTTGTCCGTCCATTTAAAGGGCCTTCACCAACCAAAGCTGGAAATTCGGAGGTTTACTGATGCAGCTGTGCCCGAATCTTCAACGAACACGTAGCCGCGAGCATGTCACGCAACGGAGCCGCAATAGCGAAGTTACTCGCGTTTGATGGTCCAACGCCACCCTCACTTTCTTCGCTTTTTTTTTCTTCGCTATGTCCATTTCGTCCACTCTTCTCTCCTCCTCACCAAGTGCTACTGCTTCCCGCGAGGAGGAAAAGCGGGAAAATGTGTGTACTGCGAACACGGAAACCGATCATTTTTGTGGGTTACAGGAGCAGACGCGAATGATGATGTGACGGCCAACGCTGGGGACGCCGAACAGTCCGGAGAATAAATGGGATTGTTTCTCCGGATTTTGTGGCGCACCCTCTGGTATGGCGCTGCCGCGCTTTGCGCTGCTGATCGTGACGGTTCTTAACTCAAATCGCTTGAAATGTTAAGGACCCATTGGAGGTGGTTGGGGGCCCTTAAAAATGGAGTGATGGTACAGTGCTTTCACCTGCATTTAGCTGCACTCACACGCTAACCGCCGTATTCACAGACGCTCCTTCACTCAAGAGCTCTCCTCGACTTCAAAGAGCCGATGGGAGCGCCATCTCATGGGAGACCAAGTCACTGCATATCGGCAATATTCTGCAGCGATTCTTGAGAAGCGCAGCGTCAATTTCAGTCGAGCAGCGGCGCAGTGCTCAACTAAGTCAAGTGAAGGATGGAATTCGAGTCGAGGAGCGTTTCTGAATACGGGGGTAAGTCTTCACACAGTAACTGCGCACGAAATCGACGGTGAGCCGGTAGGGCCGCTTGTGGGACAAAGCCCTGGTGGGCAGGCGGAAAAGTTACAAAGTTTTACATTGTGATATTTACGTGTGCAGTAACAAGAGCCATACAACTGGAGTTGGTCAAGAGGATGTCATCAGAAGCGTTTATACAAGCATTCCGAAGATTCGTAGCTAGAAGAGGATTGTGTACAACTATTTACAGTGATAATGCCCTCTATAGCTACAACAAACCGTCATTAATGGTCCCTCGATGAGATTTAGGGCGAGTGGGTAGGCATCCTTCTTTTGCCGGGCTTCCTCCACGTCCTCTTCTATGCGAGAGTCCAAGCCCTGGATAAACAATATTTACGTTTAAATGTCAGGCATACAAACATCGCGAAAGTAACTGTACATTCTGGTCTACTATTCCGGTATTAACAAAGCACATTGGCGCAGTGTTGCCTTTCGTGTCTACACTACTACCTGCCAAACTGTTATCACACGGAAAAACTCTGCTTGTACGTGCAAACGATGGGAAGTGATACCGATAAAGATATAACGAGTAATCTAATGTTTAAGTCATGCGAGAACGGTAGCGCGCATCGTGTGAGATGGGCATCACGCATCGCAGATGAGTCATCCGACAAAGTCCACCACGATCACGTGGTTTGCATGATCTCTGAAGCCGCATATCATGCAATTATTTGTTATCAGTGAACATTGTTAGTACTCACCTTGATTAATGCAGTCTTCAGTCTCTCTTCAACAGAAGCGTTGCGCCAGACGTCCTCAGCCTCTTTGCGATTGCCTTCTTTGTTCAGTGCCCTACATGTAAACAATTATTAGTATAGTACTTACATACCTCACGAACACCATTAGAAACCTTGTCTAAAAGGAACCAAGTCAAGTTAATAATAACGAACTTCACATAACGACTCTTTTCTTTCTGTTGTCTCATTCTTATGTATTACAGCCTTCCTGGCAATACCTTTTATCATACCCCTTATTATTGTTTTCGATACTGCTACAATGTAATTATTCACTACAATCATTAACATATCGTACGAGCTCGCACAAATTTCAGTTTATCAGCGAAAATTCGTCTGAAGCCAACCTCTCGAAGACGTCACTGACGGACATTAGAGACTTCCAATGTTCCATACGCTGTTCTAGAACTTCCTTCACGGCCACAGGTTTTTCGAGGCTAGCCTCTTTTTTTATCCCTTTAGCTATATAACATCACTCCGACAACATCTATTGGTGATGCCGTCTGATAAGACGTAACATCTTCACACGCGTAAAGGCTTAGAAACTATTCCTTGCATTGGTTCCCTTCCGAACACTTCCATGCCTAAGGTGAAGAACGTAATCCTCGAGACTACAAGCGAAGTTCTATTGTGTGGCGACTCTTTTTTGAGAAACAGGCACGATAATTTGACCTGCACACAACACGATAACTGCACCAAGTAAAGCTTTATTAGCATATCTACGTCATACACACACGTTGGATATATAGGTGTGCCCCAGGTGATGATAATTAAAAACAATTTTTCTAATGTCATACTTTCAGCGTGCTGTCGTGCGCAATCAGCCTGTTTTTTTTTTTTTTTTTGCAATCTTGGGAGTAAAGTTGTCCTCAGCGGGACAAGCTGCACTAAAAATGGCGTAGGAAAGTTTAACGTAAAATCGAGAAGGTCGGCACTAACCTTAGAGTATTCCAGAAGCTTCTCCGTTGCTTCTGGGTCCGTGTTCATGACGACTGCTTCGCAGAGCTCGAGAAGCTCAGGGTCTATGGTGTCGTAGACGGGAAGACATCCGGCATTGACGATACCCATGTCCATGCCAGCCTACATTTAATACTTTAATTAACGAGAAAGAAAGAAAGAACAAAAGAAAGAAAGAATAAAAGAAAGAAAAAAAGTAAGTAAGAAAGAAAGAAAGAAAGAAAGAAAGAAAGAAAGAAAAAAATAAGTAAGAAAGATATAAAGAAAGAGAAAGAAAGAAAGACAGAAAGAAAGAAAGAAAGAAGGAAAGAAAGAAAGAAAGAAAGAAAGAAAGAAAGAAAGAAAGAAAGAAAGAAAGAAAGAAAGAAAGAAAGAAAGAAAGAGAAACTGAGCAAGCACTTGCCGTCCTGAGGTTTTTTCATAACCTGAAATGTAAATTTTCATTCGAACAAGCCCTTTATAGGTAACGGTAACAATTACTATTAATAAAAGAGTCGGAAACATTTGTAGTTTCTTCAGCTTCAATAAACAGCAGATGACTTGACAAGAACACAAGACGCGGACGTGCCTTTCAACTCTCTTCGCATCAATTCCGGAATTGAGAAATGCATCTTGTCAAAATCGCTATCCTGTTCTAGCTTGAATATCACCGAAAGATCTATCCCGACAATTACTACGTAGTAACATATAAAGCAACTGCGGTTTGTCGTACAAGCTGTGCTTTAGAGTCCCTTAGTTGCACTACATATTCAAAACAAACCTCTTTCTTTCAGTATTGTTCTATCTAAACGACGAGGCAACATTCTCTTGGAATAACAAATAGAGCAATCTTGTATCACGCGCGTATTTTTTCTGTATATGCGATCGATATACATACCACAGTCGTGACCCGCCACATCCTGGAGTAACAAGTCAAGCGATTAACCGCGCTAATATGTCCGGGGTGAAATCTTAAAAAAAAGATTGTGATCTATCTATCTATCTATCTATCTATCTATCTATCTATCTATCTATCTATCTATCTATCTATCTATCTATCTATCTATCTATCTATCTATCTATCTATCTATCTATCTATCTATCTATCTATCTATCTATCTATCTATCTATCTATCTATCCATCCATCCATCCATCCATCTATCTATCTATCTATCTATCTATCTATCTATCTATCTATCTATCTATCTATCTATCTATCTATCTATCTATCTATCTATCTATCTACCATTAGGCTTACGCTAGCGATTCAGATGCTTTTCTACACGCGTCACCAGTTTCGTTATTGGTTCACTTCAAATTCAAGCGTATCATGTGCTATCTTGTACATGGTAAAGCTTCATCCAAAGGGAGTGCAACTACATCAGGCTCCTGCCCGCGTATCAACGTCTACTCACTACCCGATTGTCGCAGGATCAAATCTCGGCCGAGCTGGCTGCACTTCTTATGGAAGCGAGAATTCTCGAGGTTCTTGTATTCAGAATCAGGTGCGCGTTAAAAAAATTAGCTTTTATTTATTATATATTTTAATATATTTCATAATATTTTATTATAACATTATTATTATAATGTTCCTTTAATTGTGAATACCTACAAGCGTAGGGAATATATTCGAAGGGAATTCATCCACTTCGGACAATGTCTAGTGCGACAGAAGCAGTAGATTAGACTGAGTAATTAATAAATAATTATTTAATAACTTATACGTAAGAGACCACTCACGTCAATAGCGTGGAGAAGGAAGACGCTGTGCATCGCTTCCCGAATGCCGATCGTGGCCACGAAACGCGAAAGACAAGTTGGACACTCCTCCGCTGACTCTGACTCCCGGCAGGGTCGCCTGTGAGGACAGAACAGCGCATCCTAGGGCTTAGGTAGTCTTCCGACGCTTCAAGGATACAATAAATACGTCAGCAAGCAAACGACAATCATATGTTAAAGAAACATTATTTGGAGTTATGCTGGGTTGCAAGCTAAGAAATAATGACCGCTCCTCTCACAACCATCGTGGTTCTCTCGACATAGAATTTTCATAAGTGCCCGTGTCCAATAGCGCTTTCTCCTTTCCGTGACGATAAGCATTTGTAGAGTATATTATAGCTGACTATCCCATGCCAACCAACCTTTTTTTTTTTAATCGGTATGTGAATAGGAGAGGCTGCTGCCATTATGGTTGCACTGCCTTACTACGTGTAGAAAAAAAAGAGAGAGATGGAGCACACACAGCGTCAACAAGAAAACCTCCTCTGAAGCGGCTACCTGCTCGTGTTCAGGCCACGATTTCCATCCATGCTCCTGTTTGCCTTTATGGGTGGAAGGTGGGGGGGGGGGGGGGTAGTTGACGAGAGAGCGCGTTTAACGCACGGTGTTACACCGTGGCCTTGCGTTCATAAAATGCAACCTCCTCCGACACCATTTCCGCATCGCGTACCGTGCTCCTGTTGTTGTTTTTATGCGAATGCATTTCTTAGTCGGGCTATGTCAGGCGTCCGTCGGGATCCGTCCTCCGCCCTCTCTCATAGCAACAGCTGCGGGCGCGCGCAGTCATCCTCGCCCCCAGCAAGTGGAGCATTTATTGCGAGAGTATGTGGTGGCTGGCGGTAGTGGTTAGAATAGTATGAAGGCACCTAATTTCTGCAGCCCAGTAGGGAACATGAGCATAGGAGAGGGTAGAGTGAAGTGCTTCTCCGCTCCTTCTGGCGTCGTTCGTTCTCTCTCCTCCCGGCGACCCACACTCCCTTCCGCTCGCTCCTCACTCGACCGTTCGCTGAATACGGAGGACAATATAGTGCACAATTCATTTTCTCTTTAATTTGACGGTGTTTGGCTTTTTGCGAACGCCGCCATGCAAAGTTCGACACTTTGCTCGAGTCTGCGGCGCCCCGCCATCTCTAAGCCAAGTACTCCGTAGTGGCCATGGTGCCACAGACTCAGAGAAACGCACTCGTTTGTATCTGGTGGCAGAAGGCCGGCGCAATGAAAAAAAAAACTAAGAATGAGCCTGCATATAAAGAAATGCCGGTGTCACTTCTGGGCATCGCTGATTGGTTCCAGCAGCTTTGCCACTGCAGTCGCGCGAATGAAAAATCGGTCGGGAAACGACTAGCCAAAACAGTCCCTCTGCGACCATTCGCGACTGCTTGCAATCACAAATGGTCGCGCGACCGCTGCTAGTCGCCGGTGTGAACCAGGGAGGTTTAAAAAAATTGCTGGAGTAAAAGTCATTACCAAGGAGTGAAGCCATGCCTCTGGCAAGATGGCGGCTGTGGCGACCATCTTACTAGGGGCATGATAACGTATCACCATTGAGCGATTAGAACGGAGCGTTTCCTTTGCGAGTGGTCGCAAACAGTTTCAAATAGTCGCGCGACCGCTGCTAGCCGCTGGTGTGAACCAGGGAGGTTTTTAAAAAATTGCTAGAGTGGAAATCATTGCCTAGGAGTGGAGTCATGCCTCTGGCAAGATGGCGGCTGCGGCGGCCATCTTACTAAGCACGATAACGTATCACCGTTGAGCGGGCACTATCAGAAAAGCTGGCTTCACTTCTGCTGGCAAGGCATTTCGGGAGCTTCCACCCCAGCAATTTTTCTTTAAACCTCCTTGGTGTGAGCCAACCAATAGCCTGGTTACTGGAACGAAGAAAGTTTGTTCTGTTTGTTTGTCTGCCTGTCTGTCTGTCTGTCTGTCTGTCTGTCTGTCTGTCTGTCTGTCTGTCTGTCTGTCTGTCTGTCTGTCTGTCTGTCTGTCTGTCTGTCTGTCTGTCTGTCTGTCTGTCTGTCTGTCACACTAAACGATTCAGCCACCCGGCTAAAGTTTAAGCACTTGCTGAACACCCAGCCATCTTGTACATGTACAAGTGGCTTCGTTAATATATGTGAACACAGTCCATCAAAAATCAATTACGCATATCTGAGGCGCAATATCAATACGTAAATATGAAACGGCGTGTTCCTTTACTAGAAAGTAAATATGTAACTCTAAAGACCCTAATGTTTTTTTAGCCTGCGCTGAAAGTCTGACGCTACGCACGTAAGGAGGCCGGCAGAAGACTATATTGATTGATTGATATGTGGGGTTTAACGTCCCAAAACCATTATATGATTATGAGAGACGCCGTAGTGGAGGGCTCCGGATATTTTGACCACCTGGGGTTCTTTAACCTGCACCCAAATCTGAGCACACGGGCCTACAACATTTCCGCCTCCATCGGAAATGCAGCCGCCGCAGCCGGGATTTGAACCCCCGACCTGCGGGTCAGCAGCCGAGCACCTTAGCCACTAGACCACCGCGGTGGGGCCAGAAGACTATATCGTTCCTCGACGACATTTGCAGCTAAGCACGCAGATACGCCGCTAACTTTTTAGGGGCGAAGTTCATTACGCCGTGGGTGGAATGTCCCATGTTCTCGTCATCGTAGTAGCCACCCCTTGTTTAGTCCTTGGAATGTCCAGTGGATGGCGCTGCTTGTCATGATCAATATATGATGAAAAGACACGAGATGGGTGTACTTGGAGTGCATCCGCCTGTGTGTCCACCCGCTTCGCTCCGCTCGTCATCATTCACCTCGCGGATATTCTGTAATTAGGGGGGGGGGGTTGTAGCCATGCGTGAATAGATAAATCCATCACTTCACTTATTTTGCGCTTGGATTAACGTTGTGAAAACTGAGGTGATCATTACAACAATTCGTATGCATTATACGGACGAAAGGACTGCGCTGTTTTACCAAAAAAAAAGGCAGCATACATGCGGGGTGCATGATGGATAGTGCGGCAAAGCATCCGTCCGTCCATTCGTTCTTGCTTCCATCCGTCCATGCGTCCGTCCGACCGTGCAGCCATACGTGCGTCCGTCCATGCATCTGTCTGTGTGTCCGTTAGTCCATCTAGTCAACAACAAGATTAACTGCATAGCGCACAGTCTCAATGTGCCCGAAATTGAACACGTTATGGCCGAAATTCTCCATGGCAACATATCAGAACAAAGCGTATACATGCTCAATGTATACAGTAGTCCCAGTCACCATAGACAAAGATTCACACGCTTGTTCCAGAAAGCTGTCCGTCTCGCGGGGCCTAACCCACTAGTGATTGCAGGCGATTTTAAAGCCGCGCATAGCGCCTGGGGCTACACGTACGACGCAACCAAAGGTAACGAGCTTTGGAAAAATGCGAATGACATGGGCCTTATTCTCATTACGGACAAGGCCTTCCCCACTCGCACTGGTACGTCCACGCAAAGAGATACTACGCCGGATCTATGCTTCGTCAAGAATATCTCCGACGCCCGCTGGTCCAACCTCGCGGTAGATCTCGGTAGCGACCACTTCATATTGGCTGTACACCTCCCCACAGTAAGCAGGAGGACCAAGTCATACACGTGGGTCGACTGGGACCTCCTTCGTAAGACCCGCGCAGAACGACCTCCTCCCGATACCCCACCGAGCCTCGAGACGTGGACGGCCCAGCTCAAAGCTGATGTAAACAAGGCAACCAAAACTATCAGCACAGACCTTCCAACCGAAAAGATGGACAGTCGTCTCGCCCACCTACTTGAGGCCAAACAGTTTCTATTGGCCCAGTGGAAGGTTCAGCGCCTTAATCGAAGGTTACGCAAACGCATATCTCAGCTGAACAAGACCATGATGGATCACTGCCGCATCCTTTCAAAACAGCAGTGGGACGAAATTCGTAATTCGATTGATGGTCAGGTTCGAAATGGCAAAACGTGGAACTTACTCAAACACCTCCTCAATGAAACCAACACCCGCACAAATCAGCGTCATTCGACCGTGAAGACACTTCATCAAGCTAAACGGACAGTGTCACCGGAAGATGTTGTCAAGAACCTCGTGGAAAAATATCTCCCGTTTCCTACGGGCCCTGTGACCCCTCACCCTGATTACTCTGGCAGCGACAACACTAACTTAGACGCCCACTTCTCTATTGAAGATGTGCGCCGAGCTCTCCATGAGCTCAATGGCCACTCAGCCCCTCGCCCCGATGGAATCACCAACAAGCTCCTACGCAACCTGGACGATTCCTCCGTCACTTACCTCACCGACACTATCAACGAAATATGGAAAAAGGGTGAGATACCCGATGCTTGGAAACTAGCTCACACGGTTTTCATACCCAAACCGGGAAAGGCGCCGAGCCTAGATAACCTACGCCCCATATCTCTCACGTCGTGCGTGGGCAAAGTGGCTGAGCACGTCGTTCTCAACAGGCTTGGTCGATACCTCGAAGATAATGACTACATCCCGCACCACATGATTGGCTTCCGACCAGGGTTATCCACTCAAGACGCCATGTTACTCCTAAAGCATCAAATTCTAGATGGCGGAAACACTCGGGACACTCGTGCAATACTCGGTCTCGATTTAGAAAAGGCCTTCGATACAATAACGCACTCGTCAATCTCGAAAGCGATCGCAGCCCTTGGCCTAGGTCATCGATTTTACTACTTTATCCGCTCTTTTCTCACTCGACGCAGAGTCGTCCTCCGCGTAGGAGACCTAGTGTCGGAAGAAGTGGAGCTCGGACAGCGGGGCACTCTTCAGGGATCCGTCCTCTCGCCCACGCTCTTCAACCTCGTGATGATCGGGCTTTCCGAACGACTTTTGAAAATCGACGGGCTAAATCACACTATCTATGCGGATGATGTAACCATATGGTGCTCCACAGGGTCGGATGGCTTCATTGAGTCCGCCCTGCAAGAGGCTATCGACACCGCCGAGTCTTACCTCGACCACACCGGTCTCAGGTGCTCACCCGCGAAGTCGGAGCTGTTGATATATTTGCCCAAACACCGGGGTGCCAAGCCCAAAGGGTGGAAACCTCCGGCAGAACGCAATATCACCCTCCACACCAGAGATGGTCGTACTGTACCCAGGGTAGACACCATCAAGGTCCTCGGCATGATCATTGAGTCCCGCGGAACCAACACCCGAAATGTACACAAGCTCAGGGCTAAGACTGAGAATGCCATACGACTCGTACGTATAGTAGCCAACAGGCACCATGGCCTCAAAGAAGACAACCTGCTGCGTCTCGTACACGCGTTTGTTTTGTGCCATTTTACCTACGTTGCCGCTATACACAAATGGCTACGTGCTGAGCGCGATCAACTCAATGCGCTTATTCGCAAGGTGGTCAAACGAGCCCTTGGCCTCCCTATCGCCACTCCAACGTACAAACTCCTCGAGCTTGGCATACATAACACGCTAGAAGAGATCGCCGAAGCTCAGGAACGCGTGCAATTGACCCGACTAACTATCACCAAGGCGGGCCGCCATATTCTGCGCGAGCTCGGCTTCTTCTCTTCGAGGGCTAGGGACTCCACAGAGTTGACTCTAATTCCCTGTGAAATCCGCGACCTTATCACGATCGCTCCCACTCCACGAAATGTAGACCCCGAATACAACAGAGGCAGGCGCCTTGCGCGGGCGACCGCCATTCTAAAGCGCATAGACATGGAAGTGGACAACGTCTCGTTCGTGGACGCCGCTGCCTATCGCAACAACCGAGCCTTCGCCGCGGTCGCGGTATCATCCGCGCAGCAGACTCTTAACTCTGCCACAATCCTCACCCGAAACCCCGAATTAGCGGAGCAAGTAGCTATAGCTATAGCTATGCTCGACAGCAAACGGGAATTCATCTACAGCGACTCCAGGCCGACCACCAAAGCCTTTGAACGCGGAGTCATCTCCGACCAGGCGTTACGTATCCTGCGCAATGCGGACCCGAGTGCCCTGAAGCACCACACTGTCATCTGGTTCCCCGCCCATCTCGGCCAGGTGCCGGGTGCCCTATCCAACCTCAACGAGATCGCCCATGATGCAGCGCGCGCACCTACCGACCGCACTGCCACAGGGCAACCTCATCTTGCCGGGTTAGATACCAATCGGGATGCACCTATTACGTACAATGAAATTACAAAGCACTTTTACCTGGAACGCCGCATTTTTCCACCCCCACATCCGAAACTTAACCGACCACAGGCATTCACCCTACGCCTATTACAGACACACACGTACCCAAACCTTGCCACGCTTCACGTTTATTATCCCGATGCATACCCCAGCGACACATGCCCATCATGTGGACACACAGCGACACTCGCACACATGCCCTGGGAGTGTCGAACAACTCCTCCCGACTCTACCTCAAGCAAGTGGGAGAGGTCCCTCAGGAGCTCACTTCTCGCCGACCAGCAATGGACCGTCCAGCAGGCCCACGAAGCGGCCGCCAGGTACTCCCTGTCGGTCCCTACGTGGGAGACGCCCGCTACGCGCTAAGCGCGTCCTGCAGGACTGAAATAAAGTTTTTTTTTCATTCCATTCAACACTCCAAGTACCGTCATCTCGCATCTTTTCATCATATATTCTGCATAGAGAAGCACCGCCATCCAACGGACATTCCAAGGACTAAACGAGAGGCGGCACACGCACACTTTCTTACGGCTTGTGCTTCATGTCTACTTCCCACCTTTAACCACCTCAAGTTCATATTATATATTAGTTCACTGTATTCATGGCACTGCGGTCCAACGCTTGCTAAACGTTTCTAAAACCAAAGAGTTTACGCCCAGCGAGTATAACGTAGCAACCCTTTCTTGTCAGATAGTGCTCAATGTACATACCAATGGCTGCTAACGGGGAATGAGAGACACGAGAATTCAGCTTTTAATTAACGCGCACGCTGCGAATTTTTTATTGTTCAACAACGCACAGGAGAAACTTCCCACCGGCACCACCTTGCAGGCCAAAGCGTAAGACATGTTATGTACTACGACGAGGGACGAACGGGTGCCGTTTTAAGGATCTTGGCCCCTAAAAAGAGTATTTTACCGGCAATAGTGGCTTCAGGCCTGTCCGTTTATTACCCACACTATCTTATTTTATTTTAATGAAGTAATGCTAGAGCCAAGTTAAATCATGGTATTCATTTTTACCCAGTAGCGGCTCCAAAGGGCGGGAAGAAGTCTAAAGGCTCTGACCTCCCCGCCTCTCTAGAAATTTGAAACGTGTACCGCGAAGAACAGAAATATCATGTATTCCGATTATTTAATCCCCCCTCCCCAGCTCCAATGGAAAACCTTAGGATCCACTATGGCTTCTATTGGGAAGACAGTGGATAGCTATGTAAAATTTCATCTGTTTCTGTGTTTTCACGTGTCGAACCTATATATACTATGCGAATGCTGCCCCGCCGCGGTAGTCTATAGTGGCTAAGGTACTCGGCTTCTGACTCGCAGGTCGCGGGATCGAGTCCCGGCTGCGGCGGCTGCATTTCTGATGGAGGCAGAAATGATGTAGGCCCGTGTGCTCATACTTGGGTGCACGTTAAAGAACCCCAGGTGGTCAACATTTCCGGAGCGCTCCACTACGGCGTCTCTCATAATCATGTGGTGGTTTTGGGACGTTAAACCCCACATATTTATCTTTCTACTATGCAAATGCGACAATGCCCAACGTCCAGGGCACGTGGTTATTGTTATAACATTAAATCTCAGATGCGTGCAAACTTAACTACGAGAGGGCTTTCGCGATTCGCGCGCGTTAAGCCGCGGTCTCCTTTGGTAAGAAACTCGCCCTGTCGTGCTTGACAGCGCCAATTCGCCCCCGCTGTCACTTTTAAATGCAGAACACATTAGGGTGGGGCAGGTTGTCGTATTCTGTGGTCGTCGTCGCTGGCGTAACGCGGGCAGAAGCACATTGGGCACGCAGTAGACTATAGACGTAGATTCTAAACGTCTAGTTCACCCACCCACCCCCTTCCTCTATTTGGCGTGAGCGCCAAATAGAAGTCTTCTTTTTCCCCTGCGAGCGTTTTGATGAAGACTTTAACTGAAGCCTTCTTCCTCTCGTTCTTCGGGCATTGTGATGGCGATCACTTATCATCACCAGGAAAACAAAAAAGAAAAAAATAAACTAGCGCGCTTCGCGTAAGGCAGCCGAAACTACGTTTAAAAATCGAACAAAAAATGAGGAAACAAGCGCGCAGTAGAGATTGAGAAAGGGGAAAGATAAAGGCAGAGGGTGAAATAAATGGATACAAAGAGACCAAGGAAGACACAAAAGATGGAAAGAAAGAAGAGAGAGAGAGGAGGAAAGAAAAGAAAAACGAAACAGAAGCAAAGAACACTGCCAGCTCAGCTCTTTTGTCAGGCTTGGCAAACTTTCTGCGAAGGTGCCTTAACTTTTTTTTTTCTTACAGAGGCGTTTCGCAGTGTCACCCCACCCACCTGCGGCTGGTTTATCGCTTTTTCTTTTCATTTTACAAAGCTACGCGTCTTTTTGCTCTGCAATAGATTGGCGAGACATTCGTTATGAAGCGAACCCTAATGTATTAAAGATTTCGCTCACTTTAATTCGACGGGTGGCGTTGATGAAGTCCACCGCGTAATTGGCGTGCTCCAACAAGCCCGTTGCGACGGTCAGGATGTTAGGGTCGAAGATGACGTCGCTGGGATCCAACCCTGCGTCCCGAACAAGGATCTCGTACGACCTCGTGCATATCTCCACTTTGCGGTCCTCATCCGTCGCCTGAAATGAAATTTTCAATCACATTTCCAGCAAGAAATATGAGGCGTTTCTAATGTTCATATATTTATATATACCAAACATCGATATAGGGACACACACGCGCACGGGCAGCTCATCCATAGAGAGAAATGAAGGCTGTGTTTATTTTTTTTATTGATCACAGTCTGAAAGTACTGAAATCGATGGGCTCTTATCGAACACAATCTTTTAGTGATAAACAGCAGACAATCAAGCTGATGAAAGTTTTGGAGGCTCTGTAGTAATTACGTGATAAATGGGAAGAAATTAAAGTGACCAAGAAGACAACTAACTCGCCGTCGCCGGCAGCGACCGAGGACGTATACGTTCGAATAACGCGTCCTACGCTACGCCAATCGAGTGTTCGCTTTCTGCCGGCGGACACATGCCTTTTCGTCCGCTTCAATTTCTTCTCATTTGTCGCGTGATTAAAGCAAAGGATGTCCCGCAAAACTTTCCTAGGCTTGATGTCTGTTGACTGTAAGTGAAAAGTTGTTCACAGTCAGTCACGGAAGTTTCTGATACACTGTCAACTGCAAAAGGATAATGCCAATTTGTATTTGCATAGAAGTAGTATCATTGGTTTAAAAATTCTTTACTGTATCGCAAACTATGGTTATTCGTGCGCAAAAACGTGCACCCCCATTCGCTTATTACCCCCTCATACATACATACATGCATACATACGTACGTACGTACGTACGTACGTACATACATACATACATACATACATACATACATACATACATACATACATACATACATACATACATACATACATACATACATACATACATACATACATACATACATACATACATACATACATACATACATACATACATACATGCATACATGCATGCATGCATGCATGCATGCATACATACATACTGCAACGAGCAAGGTTGCGTAAAAACACAGGTTATTATTCCAGAAACGTTAGCCGCAACAAGCTGGTACAGGCAGGAACCCGGCAAGCACGAGCCACACACGGACGTCAACGTCTTCTTTCACGCTGGCACAGAGCTGGCGCCACTATGCTTCGGTACAATTACTCCCCGCGCAGAAAGGAGCCAACCTGGCGACCTAGGGAGAGGACACGACAAGGGGGTCATAGCATGGTTTGAGGCGTGATACGTGTACTGTTTCACGCCCACGGCAGCGTTGGTCCGAGGGTGGATCAATGGGCTCAACTTCATAGTTGACAGGAGATGTTTGCCGCACCACACGGTAGGGGCCATGGTATTTCGACGAAAGCTTCGGGGAAAGACCGGGAGGGGTAGATGGGACCCAGAGCCAAACCAGCATTCCTGGGTTATAGTGTACAGTAGACGCAGAGGAATCGTGGTCAGTTTTCTGGCGCCATTGGTCTTGTGCGGTAAATGAGCGAGCGAGTTGACGACACTCTTCGGCATAAGCAGCTGCTTCGGAAACAGGCGTCGCTTCGGAAACATCAGGCCTGTAAGGGAGAATGGTGTCCATGGAGCATGATGGCTCACGTCCGTACAGAAGGAAGAAAGGAGAAAAGCCAGTGGTTGTTTGTGGCGCAGAGTTGTAGGCGTACGTGACAAAAGGGAGCACTTGGTCCCAATTAGTGTGGTCGTCAGAGGCGTACATGGCAAGCATATCTCCAAGGGTACGGTTAAAGCGTTCTGTCATGCCATTGGTTTGGGGATGGTATGCCGAGGATTTCCTATGGACAGTGCGACATGCCTTGAGTAGCTCGTCGACGGCGTTCGAGAGAAACACGCGTCCACGGTCACTGAGTAATTCACGAGGTGCACCGTGTCGCAAAATTAGATGGTGAAGAAGAAAGGACGCAACGTCTTTCGCAGTGGTAGCAGGCAGCGCAGATGTTTCAGCGTAGCGTGTTAAATGATCCACGGCGACGATAATCCACCGGTTGCCTCGAAGAGAGTTGGGTAGAGGACCATAAATATCAATTCCGACGCGGTCGAATGGTCTCGCTGGGCAGGTTAAGGGTTGCAAAGGGCCAGCAGTGCTGTGAGAAGGCGTCTTGCGTCGTTGACACGTGGTGCATGACCGAACGTACTGGCGAACGTGCCGATACATGCCGCGCCAGTAGTATCTTAGACGAAGGCGAGAGTAAGTCTTAAATACTCCGGCGTGGCCACACTGGGGGTCATCGTGAAAGGCAGCGCAGATGTCCGAACGCAAATGACGAGGGATGACAAGGAGCCACCTACGGCCACCCGTCACGTAATTGCGGCGATACAACAAGCCTTCACGGACAGCAAAGTGTCTTGCTTGACGAGAGAGGGAGCGTGAAGTCGTTTCTGATGAACTGTGAGAGAGGACGTCGAGCAAAGAATTGATCCAGGGATCCTTGCGCTGTTCGGATGGCATGTCAGTGATGCTCAACGATGACGAATCGAAAATGGCAGTTGATAAGCAGGCAAGGTCAGGAGGCAGTGGAGAACGGGATAGTGCATCGGCGTCTGAATGTCTGCGTCCTGAGCGATAAACAACACGGATATCGTATTCCTGAAGGCGTAAAGCCCAACGAGCGAGGCGGCCAGTAGGATCTTTCATGGACGCTAACCAGCATAAGGCATGGTGATCTGTGACAACATCAAACTGGCGTCCGTAAAGGTAGGTGCGAAATTTTCCTATAGCCCAAACGATAGCCAAGCACTCCTTTTCCGTGACGGAATAGTTGGACTCTGCCTTCGTTAGTGTACGGCTGGCATAGGCGACAACGTACTCGTCGCAGCCATCCTTGCGTTGAGCGAGAATGGCACCGAGGCCGACACCGCTTGCATCCGTGTGAATTTCAGTGGGTGCATTGGGATCAAAGTGGCGGAGAACTGGCGGAGAGATGAGTAGCCGGCGTAGCGCCGTGAATGCCTCATCGCAGTGGGAATTCCAGCCTGAGAGGTCCGCGCTACGGGAGAGAAGCTCAGTCAGAGGGGCAATTATAGAGGCAAAGTTGCGAATGAAACGCCGAAAATAGGAACACAAGCCTATGAAACTACGAAGCTCCTTTAGGGTAGTAGGCTTGGGGTACTCGGCAACGGCACGCAGTTTGGCAGGATCTGGCGATATTCCTTCTTTTGAAACGACGTGGCCGAGAATTGTGAGTTTGCGGGCGCCAAAACGACATTTCTTGAAGTTAAGTTGCAACCCGGCTGCCGTAAGGCACTGGAGAACTTGTTCCAGACGGGAAAGATGAGTTTCGAAATTCGCCGAGAATACAACTATGTCGTCTAAATAGCAAAGACAGATGTGCCATTTAAGTCCCCTGAGGACACTGTCCATCATTCTTTCAAAAGTCGCAGGCGCATTGCAAAGACCGAAGGGCATTACATTAAATTCATATAAGCCGTCAGGGGTCACAAACGCCGTTTTTGGACGGTCTGGTTCAGCCATTGGTACTTGCCAATATCCAGAGCGCAGATCCAGTGAAGAGAAAAACTCCGCACCTTGAGGGCAATCCAAGGCGTCATCAATGCGTGGCAGGGGATAAACATCCTTGCGTGTGATGTTGTTTAGTCGACGATAATCCACGCAAAACCTGATGGAGCCATCCTTTTTTCGCACGAGGACCACTGGCGAAGCCCAAGGACTGTGTGAGTGCTGAATAACACCACGTTGCAGCATCTCGTCGACGTGTTGAGTGATGACGTCACGCTCGGCCTGCGAGACGCGGTAGGGGCGCTGACGAAGTGGAGTATGATGACCGGTGTCGATATGGTGAGCGACAACTGACGTGCGTCCCAAGGGAGGTTGTCCGTGGTCGAAGGAGGCGCGGAAACGGTCAAGTAGTTGAATGAGCTGATTGCGCTGGTCTTGCGTAAGGCCGGTGTCTACGCTGCGCAACAGAACGTCTTCGTCAGGTAGTGAGGGCGCGGTGCCAGCTGTGACAGCATCCACGGACATCGGTGTCGTATCAGAACGGGCATCGAAAGGAAAGATGTCATCATAAGTGTCAAGACTCCCAATGCATTCGCCATGCAATAAGGTAGCGGGACAAGCGAACGGATTGCACACGTACACGGCACTGGAGCCATCGGCAAGTGTTATGACGGCAAACGGGACGACAAGGTTCCGGCGACGAGCGCATTCTTGTGACGGCATAAATAGGGCAGTTGAATCGGAAACGGAGTTGCACAAAAGAGATACCGCGGTGACCGAAAAAGCAGAAATGACGACGTCAGCGGCGACGATCACCTTTTTGGGTGAGCGAGGGAGATCTATGAATGTCGTGCTGAATGGAAACAAAACGAGTTGAGCACGAGCGCAGTCGACAACCGCATGATTAGCGGAAAGAAAGTTCCATCCCAGGATGATTTCATGAGACGCATGCGGAAGGACGACAAATTCAACGATGTAAAGCACTCCTTGAATCACAACACGAGCAGTGCATGTGGCAGAAGGTTGGACGTGTTGCGAACTCGCCGTGCGTAAAGAAATTTCAACCAGTGGAGTCGTCACTTTGTTCAGTTTGCGGCATAACACTTCACTGATTATACAAATAGCGGCACCTGTGTCGACAAGAGCAGTTGTGGCGAAACTGTCCACAAACACGGCAATCTCGTTAGGGGGCGATAGATGAGGCCTTGGAAATTTCGTCGGTGGCGCAGCTCTTGCCTCAGGAACTGCGACTGTTAGTTTTCCTCCTGGGCGTGGTTGGAACGGCGAAGCATGGGGGAAGGAGACCGAAGACGGGGTGAAGGAGATCGACGTCGGCTGAAGTCTGGTCGACGTGAGCGGGGGTCATGTGAATAAGGTGTCACATGCGATTCTGATGGCCGAGGTATGTTGCCGGAATGCTGCACATCATTAAAATAGAATCCACGGCGACGACAGTAGCGCGCGACATGTCCTGGAATACCACAGTTGTAGCAGACGGGCCGGTTATCCGGAGTACGCCAAGAGTTCACAGGTGCTCGAGGTGGTGGAATGGGCCGATTTACCGGATAAACTGAAACTGGTGACCTGTAGTATAGTTGGTGGCTGGA